TTGGTCTTCTTTCTGAAAATGATCTCGAATTCTATTGGAATGTAATCTTAGAAAAACCATTTGATTTTATTGGTATAAGACATATACAACTTATTATCTTATGTCTTGAAGCAACATCAATTAAATCAAATCAATTATTACAAATTGTTGCACAATGCATTCGATTTAGTTTTAAGATTAATGATCAAATTTTTCGCAAACATTTATCGTATTCATTGCAAAAAGCACCATCGTTGGTATGTGATCCCAATATTCTTAACGTGTTCATCGATTTACTTGATCGTGGTGATATACAAACTAAATCTGATGTTCTTACATTTATTTCGGAATTGAAAATACGGAATCCATCTCAGAAACTGATTCAATCGATTCGTAAGACAACAGTAGATAATGAAAGGAAAGAGATAAGGATCAAAAAATGTCTTGCACTCGGAAGTATTAGTGAATATATAGCAAGAAAATCAGTAATTAATTTATTAATAAAAGCTTTAAGAGATGAGAATAATTATGCTCGAGCAAATGCGGCGTATGCTCTGGGAATGGTCAGTAAGAAAAATTTGACAAAGAAAATTATTCATAAGTTTATGGATCTATTAATGGATGGTTCTGAGAATGTAAGAGCGAATGCATCCTATGTCTTAGAAAGATGGAAATTGAAAGTGATCACGAATAAAATGATTGATAAATTGGTGAAATTATTGGGACATAAAGATAAATATGTTAGAACTCGTGTAAGATATTTTTTTGGTAATCTTGCTGAACATGTACCGAAAGAGAAATTAATCAAAGCATTAGATAAGAAGAATAAGAATATTCGAGTGGGTGTTTTGTATGTTCTAGGAAAGATAGGGAGAAAGACAATGACAAAAGAAATATCTAATAGGATAGTAGATGTTCTGAACAGTAAGAATAAATATATGAGAAGTTATGTTTGTGAAGCTCTTGAAAATGTCAATAAAAAGATGATTAAAGGTGGAATAATTAGAATATTACTCAATGCATTGAAAGATGATTGTGATTTAGTTAGAAGAAATGTATATGATATTTTAGAGAATTTAAAAGAAAAGAGAATAGTGAAGAATACAATTAGAAAACTAATCAAAGGTTTAGAGAATGATGGTGAAAAAGAAAGAAGAAATGCATGTGAAGCTATGAGAATGTTAAATGAAACGGAGATTACGAATGAATTAATGGAAAAACTTATACAAAGACTAAAGGATAGGAATGAAAATGTTAGAATTGCTGCATGTAAAACTCTCGAAACAATTGCTGAAAAAAGAATTTGGACAAAAAAACTAATTAGAGGAGTGAGAATTGCATTAAAAGATAAAAATAAAATAGTCAGAATGTTTGCATGTGAATCTCTTGAAATCTTAGGTAAACAAAAACCAACAAATGAAATTATCAATTTAATAATCTACACATTAAAAAATACTAACGAGAATGTTAGAGCATGTGCTTTATATGTTCTGGGACAAATGAGTGAACAAATAGCGACAGAGAAAATGATTAGCAAAGTAATAAATGCATTAGAAGATGAAAGTATTTATGTTAGAAATAGTGCTTATTATTTACTTGCAGATTTAAATAACATTGTGATAAATAATGAATTTATTAATAAACTTATAAGTGCATTGAAGGATAAAAATGAAGATATCAGAGCGAGTGCTTGTAAAGCTCTTAGAAAATTAAGTGAATCTCAAGTAACCGATGAAGTTATGAGTATGTTACTCAAAGCATTGGAAGATAAAAGTGGATATGTTCGAAATAATGCATGTGAAACTTTAGGAATTCTAGGTAGAATACGAGCGACTAGCGAAATAATTAAAAAACTTATTCGTTTAAGTAATAATGATCATTTTGTTGTTTCGAATAGAGCAGCAGAAGCAGTAAGTCATATAGTCATTCCATCTTTTATATCGAACAAATTAGATTTTCGATTAATCAAAAAAGTTTTTTCATCTAAATATGCCTCGATTTGTTCAAGAAATCTTTCAGTAGATGAAATTATTCATATATATTTGACTACTAAGAAGTCACAATATCTATATGTTATGTATCGCTTAGCTCTTCTTCAAGGCATCGCTATTACAGTTAATGAAAATAAATTATTGATTTATGATACAAAAGAACCGCATGAAATAATTATCGAAAGCTTAGATCTTCGTCAGAAATTAGTTCAATATTTTATTATCGAAGCAAAACGATTACAGTTAGATTTTAGAAATTTAAAATCAATTTCTATGTAATATTTTTTGTTTTGTCTTGATATAAATTTGGAAATTTAAGTACAGATTACTTTAATTACTGTACCACTTTGACAGCTACCTCCCATTTTTCGACATGTAGCTGCAGTGCAGGTATTGCAACTAACCATTGGTTCTGATGGTGTACTATATTCCGACCAATTTATACATTCACATTGACAGGTAACACGAGCCATATTCAATTGACGACCATGAACTAATGTGAATGATGAAATGATCATAACGCATAAGAAAAACGAAAAAAGTTTACAATTCATTCTTGTAAATGTGAATGAATACACAAAATGCGATAGAGATATATAAGTTAATTCTGTTGATGATGAGAACAAGAACAGAAGGTAATGATACATGGTAAAGAATGATCAAGCAAACGTAGAATATATGTAATTTTATTCTAGTTGTCAATATCTTTGAAATGTGCCTATGTCACAGTGATTGGATACGAATTACTGTACTATGTACTTCCCATGCTTTGTACTTGAGTCAAGCCTGCTCAGTATTTAATACGAATTTGTCAAGTTTGGTCATTCTTTTATTTGTTTGTTTGTTTATGACCTTTGTCATCTTCTTACATCTAGAGGTAATTTTTAAAAAAATTCTAAATTATCCAGTACTTCTTCAAGCAACTGAAACTACATCGATTTTATGCTAATGAATGCATTATATTGTATAAAATCAATATTCTTCTTGATTTTATTTTCTTATTGCCGTCACGATTATCATGTCATAATGGTAGTAAATATTGACTTGAAAAACAATAGTATACACTGTATATGCATATCGAAAACATGAAAATATAGGAAAGTAATTCTACTCGTCCGATCAGTGATATGTCACAAAACAGTCGCACTTATATCGTTTAAAACGTTGGTTATAATTACTATCAAAGATGTAAATAACAAAATACTTATTCACTTAGTTTATTCATAAGATTACCATACAATATTTTCCTAGTCTAAACATAAATGAGAACATGATGTTTCTGCGATTCTATTAGGCATTAGATTCATAGACGTCATCAGATAGAAATGAAGATTTTGGTACATCATCTGCATGTAGGAATGTCTAAATATGTGATAAAATTGAATTAGAAACTATCAAAACTTAAAAGCTTTCAGCGCAATCCCTAACGGAATTAAAAATGTGAAACACGATTCAGCCAGACAAACTTTGAACACATAGAATGCTCAATTTATTTCCCAGTCTGCATTCCCATTTATCTAAACTTAAGCTGTTGAAAGCAACATATCATTATCAATAGCGGTGTCTGCTGCTTTTTAAGAAATTTTTGCTTCATCGGTCACAATATGTGATCCTTCTTATTGTGCTTCCATTAACCGATCTCGATCTGTGACACGAACTACACGTGCCGATGTAACGAAGATGAGAGCGAACCTGTCTGTAACAGTCTGTGACAGGAGCTTTGGGCTTGTTTATAAGGGTATTTGACCGGTTTTTGGGCCTGTCTGTGATGGGGTTTTCAGGCCGTCTGTAATGTCTGTGTAGGAGGGGGAGTCCAAATTTCTGCCCCTACACACTTCAACACTCTCTTTCAGATCGTGTTTCACAAAACTGTAAAATATGCAAACCTCTCCCTGTCGGGTTTCTATCAATATTTAACACATTCACGGTGATTCGATTCCTTAAAACTTGCTTTGACAGATTCGTTTTCGTACACATTTACTTTCTAATAAACACACTTATTCATCTTCTCGATATATACTGTCAGTTCTTTTGCTTTTTTGTAGTGATAGTATTACATAGACGATCTTCTTTACGCTAAACACGATAAGCAGTCAAGTTTGTTTTTTTTCTCCTTTTCATATTGCATAGTAGAAGCAACATCAATAAAATGCAGTTTCGATTGATTTTTTTGCATTCTTCTGGCAGCAATATCATTGAATCTTGTCTCAACTTTATAAACAAATGAAGTTTCACGATAAATTATGTTATAGTGTGCACCACTGGAAATTATAATTTTGCTTCTTCTCCTTTGTAATTATACATATAACATGTACGACATAGGCGTGTATTTTGCTTTCCTTTCATTCTAACAAATTCCTCACGTTCTCTCTTTTGATATTGTTCATGAGTATTTCCTCTCGTATATGGTTATTTCCAACTTTTATGGATTGTAGCTAGTTGCATGCACGTATATATTTTCTGGCTGTTTGGAAAAAAATCAAAGAGATAAATACAATCACTCAGGACGTCTGGCTTCAACGCAGAAAATAAAAATCTTCTGTTCTGATTGAGACAAACTTTTTTGGCTTGATTGTTTTAACGAGAAGCATCAGGCTATGCAATAAACCATTCAAAAAGTAACGAAGACAGAGCAGTTAACACATTGTTGCACTTGGTGATTAAGAAAAAGGAAAAAAACTGCTTTTCTCTGAACCTTCTTGTTAACACATACTAAGATCCACTGATCGGTCTCATCACCTGAATGTGTTACTCGTAATAATACAGATATCGGTAATATATCGACGAATCTACTCAGAAATATTCGCAACCTATCAAATCCAGTCCCGGAATTTATTATTGCGGTTCCCGACATTTTACCCGCAGGATTAAAATGTAATAATACGTATCCGATAAGATTTGATCGAAGTATCGGTTTCTGCTATATATCTAGTGTCAGCAAATGGTGGGCTTTGCGCGAATTGAAAACGAATTCCTTCGATTATGCCAAATCTAGCGACTTCCCGTGTAATACAATGAAACCTGATCTTATATGCTTTGTCCCACCTGATAACTTCTATGAGATACCATACAATCCGCTGCCTGATCTACCTGGATTCGACGAAATATTTTCTGACTCATTCTCATCCGCATTCCGACCCATAGCGATAGCACAAAACTTCAGTCACATCGACTCAATCGTTTAACGATGTCATAAATTCTCGAGTCAATTCCGCATCAGATCGCACACTTTCTGACAAGATCTATCTGTCCAATTCCACACCTTTGCTATTAGTATACGGCGCAAATCATATATATAAATACTTTGCAAAAGAATCTATGTACTATTGAAATTTACCGATTCTGAGAACAATTGCAATAAATATATTGTATCTGCTATGCTATTAAGTTTGACGCTTTAAACGATCAAACACGTCATACATGATTATATATTTCATCTCAGACATTGAAATACACCAAACCGTACCGTTTCCTTTCATCGACTGAAAACAAAAACTTTAACAAGAAAGTAAATATCTGATATCTGATTAACCGCTCAGTTTCATACATAGAGGTACCATAGTGATATACTTTGGTCTATCATGGATTGAGAACTAGAAACTTTCATTCGAAAGTTTAGAATTGGTATACGATGTGCGATATAGTTTTAACTTCGGTAGAAACTGTAAGAGTATGAGATTTAAAAACTTTAACGGTTAGTTTTTGCAACTGGTAACAGTTTGAGATTTGCCACGTCCTCCCGAAACTATCATTTTATGCGATGCACGGCGGGAAAATAAGGAGTGGAAGCGTAGAAATTTGAATTATACTGATTTTCTCCCTGTAACTGCAACTTCAACACGTGAGATGTTCCACATAGATGTTTCTTATTCGCAGCGGGTACTCCCTCTAGTACATGTATAAAAGATAAATAGAGATCAAAGAAAACCTCCTGCCGCCATCGTTTTCTGATGAATCAAATTATCAGCATTCCACCCACACCCTCACACCCACACTCGACAGTTTTTGATTGATACACTGCGTTCATAAGCTAGTACACTGCGGCTTAATCAAAACACTGTTATTTGCACCCACAAGTTTAATGAAAGAAAAAAGAATAGCTTGTCATTTATTCAATTTCTCGAATTATGTCATCCACACACTGTTGTGCAATATATTTGATAAGTAAATCTATATGATCATCAAGTGTTGATTTATACCAGAATTCAGATATTGTCAATATACTTGGATTTATGTGAAACGTATTTTCATATAAACGGCATAATAGTATTAATAAAAGTGAAGTTCCACCTAAGCCAAAGAAATTAGTATTCTCCTTTATTTGTTTTTGCCATAAAACTTGACACCAAAGTTGATTTGCAAGATATTCCACATCTATCATCCCTTTTGTTACACTTATTTTTGGGGTAATATTCGTTTCCTTACATTGAGGATATGCTTCGATTTCATCTGCCAAACTCACGATGTCATGTTTGGGACTACTTAAAATGATTAATTCTTTAGGTAAAGTAATTGTTAATTGACTCGCAGGTTGCTGTTGTTCTTGATCGAATGTAGCAGCTAATCGCTCGATAAAAATGAGAAACCGTTCGGAAATATCCACAAGAGTTTGAGGATGAAATGAATCAGTTGAGTATTCAATTTCAAAAGACATATTTGGAATGTCTGGATTGTATAAAATCGAAAAATCAAAATCGAACATCGGCGTGATTTTTTTTGGTTTAGTAAAGCCTGGACTGTTATATTCTTGATGCCTGAACAAGTTTGCCTGATGCAAAAGTGTTATATGTTCATCCAGATCGATATATTCTTTGATAGACTGTGTAGAGAGTGAAAATACCGTTTGTACGAATGGTAATGGACAATAAGATTTTGTTGAATTAACTCTTTTTTGTGATTTTATAATTTCTTGATAAGGTAAGTATGAATATTGAAAAGTATTTAAACATAACTGTTTTACATCCAAAAGCAGCTTATAGAAAGACTCACTTAGTGGATTTAACCGGAAGCGAATTGGTAATATATTAACAAACATACCAATTAGTGATTGTAATTCTGGACGATAGCGGTTCGCATTAAGTGTAGCAATACAGAAGTCTTCTTGTTGCACTAGTTTATATAGAAACACGTAGTAGACAGTTAACATTAACTGATAGATTGTTGTGTTTGTTTTACTAGCATAGTTGAACAATTTATACATAAGATTCGAATCAAAATTGATGCCCACATAGGAACCATCACTTGAGTAGTTGTTGTTGTAAGCATGTTGTATGGATATTCTATCATATGGTAGTTTTAATTGATTTCTGATTCCATAATCATTTAATAAATGCCACCAATATTGTTGCGCATCGATCATATTAAGTTGACGTTCATACTGCGAGTAATCAATATATTGTAATGGCAATGGATCTAAATGTGTTTCAGTTTGATATGCTTTTTTGAAATCGTTCAAAAATATATTTATCGAAAAATGGTCAAATGTGATATGATGAAATATACAGAGAATATATAAGTCATGCGTAAATAAATCGTTCAAATCACATTGTTGCCATGGTTGGTCTGTTCTTATAAGACAACATTTGACTAAAATACCATCCTCCAGGTTAAACCACTGTCGCTGCATGTACTCATCTAGAAGTCTTTCGATTTCCTCATCGACATTTCGTTTACAGATTTCAATTAACTGTAATGTGTAAAAGTCTTCTTCAGATGAAACAAACGACTGTTTCAAACAGTTGATTTCACCGTCATATTGAAATCTAGTACGTAAAGGTGTATGCTTCTCAATAACTAGATTCAATGCATGAAGTAGACGCTTAATTGATATTGGACCACATTTCCTGTCAGTTTTGAATAATGATAGAACATTATACGCAGTTGTCGTGTATATTTCTCTATTAACCGTTTGGTTTTGCGAATTCTTGAACCGCATTTGCTCATCTAACCAGATACGCTCTTGTGCGTAAGATGCAAAACCTAAATACATGTTACAAAAAAATCAATTACAGTACGGAATATGTCATAAAATCTGTATACCTTGCTCAATATTTAATGATACCCACTGGGTTTGTTCGTTCGTTCCATCATTTACCTGTCTAGAAATTTCGTTCTTCATCCTAAATATATCTGTTGATGGCGCATGCCAAGATAATACATCTTCTGTGCGCTTTGTAGCAGCATCTTGAGTTAAATCGACGATGTTTAATTTATGAATGATAACATTTGGAACATTTTCTTCATCCACTTCCTCTTCAAAGTAATAGTCAGTTTGTTTATTTTTATTCGGAAATAAGGGTTGCGTGTCATCAACAACATTATTAAATTGTTCATCGTTAATGAGTGCTCTTACTTTTGACGTATGAATAATATGTGTATCTAACTGTATATTGGATTCACTATTGTTTATTACTCGTAGTATGTATTCATTTAGTGCTTTTAAGTTGTTTTCAATCACGTTGTAAACTTTTTTCAAAAATGTGTTTTTATCGCCTACTTTATAAATGTATCTCAATAGAATGTCATTAGAATTACTTGTATTTAATATTTCTGATATATTTTCCATGATTTCATTTGTTGTAGTTTTCAGATATAAATATGACTGACTTTTAAATCTTACTAATAAAGAATTATAGATTGAGTTTTGATTTATTTGCGGTTTATAAATAATACATAGATGCATAATCGTGCTTGGTTTGCTGATATAGCTTTGAACATTCCATTGTAATTCATCGTTGGAATTAAGTAGAATTAAGTACTGAACAGAAATATTTTTATGATATAGAGTTAACTGATATATCATTTCATACGCAATTAAACAGCCAAATAGAGAATAACCAAATAAAATGTATGGTTCATAGGGTTGATACCGTTTCATTTGATGAATATATTCGTCAGCAATCTGTTCAACAGATGTTAATGTGGATTCATTTTCTGCATACCCACTTGATCGAAATGAAATCAGCGTAAAATGACTCTTCAGCTTTTCATCGTATCGTGAAAATGTACGATCACCAAGACCAAGAATATCAGGTATACAAAATATATTAGGTTTAGCACTATTGTGGACACCTAGTCGAATTAAAAGTGAAGTACCAGTATATAACTCGATAGCTCCAGCGTCCATGACATTTGTGCTATTTTTGTAGCTTGCTGTCGATGTATCAGTATTATTTGGAGAATCAACGCCTGTAGTAGAATCATTAGATGAAGATTTGTGAGTCAACTGCCACTGTTGATGGATCTTGTACGTAATTTCATTAATTGATATACCATAAAGAATATCTGTTATTGACATCTGAAGGGCATATTTATTATATAAGCGATTATAAAGTGAAACGGCTCGTAAAGAATCCAATCCTTGGCTTATTAATGATTTGTTAGTTTCAATTTTTTCAGAATCATTTGAATCAAATAACTTTGCAACTATAGAACGAATATCATTTTTGATCATTTCTATGTCGCTTATAGTTAATTTGTCTGCTTTTAATGACTGAACTTTCTTTTCATTCGAGACCGCGTTTGAAACTTGTTCTTTTATCAAATTCTGTAATTTAGATGAATATGCTTCGCATTTCAACAGTAGCTTATTCCAGTTAACAGCAAATATGACCGGAGTAGGTATTGTGTTTTCATTTGAATGGAATACCTCAATTAATTCAAATAAGTAACACGCTGGTAAGAGCTCACTACCTTCTTCAGTGATTGAATCGACCAGTAAGCCATGATTTCGCTGGATATAACCAACGTCAAGTATACCAGGTACACTAATTGATAGTGCTGGCAAGTTTTTCTGAGATCTATAATGCGCAAGGCCATCAAGGAAATTATTCCCAACATTATAACCGGATGATCCTATATCATTCAGATGATTTCTCACTGACGAAAACATAATAAAGAATTCGATGGGACTTTTCGTCATTAATGATACAGAATGTAAGAACCATGCACCACGAACTTTTGGCCCTGTAACTTCTGACAAAATATCCAATGTTAAATTTTCAACTAAACAGTCATGTAAAACCATTGCCATATGAATTATACCTCTCACAGGAAATGACGATCGATTAATTCGTTCGAAAATTTTAAAAACTTGATCCTGCTTCGTTACATCGACTTTAGCAATTTCAACGTGCGCATCATATTGCAAAGCCGTTTGTTCCAAATCTTTCCAATTCTCTTCTTGTGTGTTGCTCAATTTCAGTTCATCCATATTTCTTCGAGACAATAATACTATTCGTTTAACATGTTTATTTTTAATCATCCACTTTGACATTTCCATTCCCAATCCTCCTAATCCTCCCGAAATCATTATAGTACCATGGTTGCAAACAAAATTAGAACAAAATAATGCGTTTGATTTCTCTAAAGATAAAAGAAAACGCTTTCAGCGCAATCCCTAACGGGATTAAAAAATGTGAAACACGATCCACCTGGAGAAACTTTAAGCACACATACTGGTGAATTTATTTCGCAGTCTGCATTCCTATTTATGTAAACTTATGTTGTTGAAAATAACATATGATTGTCAATAGTGATGTCTGCTTCTTTTTAAGAAATTTTTGCTTCATGAGTGACAAACATGTGATGCTGCTTATTGCGCTTCCATTAGCCGATCACGATCTATATATGGCGCGATTTACGCGCGTCAATGTAACGAAGTTGAGAACGAACCTGTCTGTGAGACAATGATACACAGTTTATTTGGATTTTTTCCTAACAAGCTCTCTCTCTTCATTTTTTAGGTGCACGTCTTTACAGAAAACTGAATAACGGTCAAGTGTAGTAACAACTTCAGGACAGACGGGTTATAGGTTACATGCGTGCCAAAAGGCAGGCGGCAACAATAAGTCCCGTTAGAGTCCGTATCTTTCTGCGAGTTCTGTCTTATAAAAAGAAAGGAACAGTTAACTTAACAGCAAATAGAGTATTAAACCTATGAACCTTGACTGGTAGTACTTTGCATTCTATGGCCTTTACTCTCTATATAAGGTCGACTCTTACAGCACACTTGTACGCAGTGAACCGCTTATGCGTAATGACCTTTCAATCTTTTGGTTGAAGTATGGATTTCGTAACGGTCTGTGACTAGGCTTTTCGCCCTGTCGGAGACGGTCAATGGGGAGGGGGGGGGTCAAAATTTTTAGCTTTAAGCACTTCAACACTCTCCTTCGGATCGTGTTTTACAAAATATTGTTTTGCTCATGAATACTATACAAATCTAATAGAAAACTTGGAGGAAATTCTTACTAGTTTTCAATACAGCATTGATGGATGTATTCACAGATAAATCATCGATAGTAGTTGAAGTTTTCATTATAACTGGACCTATAAAGTTAGTATCATTATACAGTTTTGCTATTTCTTCCGTTTGTGAAGATTGAAAGACTGTTACTGGCTTAACAAGTCGTATTTGCTTTTCTTCAACCATATCACTGATTTCTTTCAATAAAGCAGTCACTATTTTTGGATAAATTCTGTGATATTCGACTAAGTTAATGACATGAAAACTAATAGGATTAGTCACATAGAACAATACATGATCAAAATTCGGATTAAGTTCAATGAAATGACCATATGGCGACAGAAGTTTTATTGATTCTTCAAGGAAAACTTCGGAAAGCGTATTTAGTACTACATGAACTCCGTTGGGTGCTAGTTGTCGTGTATGTGCAACAAATGATAGATCACTACAGTTTAAGACATGTTTGAAATTAAAAGTGTTCATCAAATAATCACGATTTTGTACTGTATCATCAGTGGCAATTATGTGAGCACCAATAAATTTACAATATTCTATTGCTGCCAAGCCAATATCAGTAGATGCTTTATGAATGAGAACTGATTGATTACACTCCAAATTTGCACATTTTTGTAATGCATGAACAACAGTAAGAAATGGAATCCCGATGCGGCATAGTTGCTCCATTGTTAAATTATGCGGAGCACGAACGACTTCTATTTCATCGACTATAACATACGATGTAGAACAATCGATGTTGTTTGAAATGCTCAATACACGATCACCAATTTTTAGAAATGAGACTCGTTCTCCAAGGTTAGTAACAGTGCCGCAAAAGTTTGTTCTGAGTTTCTTATCTTTTAGCTCGTGTTCAAAATTAGCTGTTGAAGAACTCGCATAAACATCTTGTACTATGGGTAAATCTCGATAATTAACACTTATACAGTCGACTTTAACTTCGACGCTGTTTGGTGGAAGTATAAATGTTGATGAGAAAAAAACTTGACTAGAATGGAGTGGAGAGTGAAATTGTGAGTCCTCCAATTTGTATGGTATGGTGTCACAAGCTTGGCCAAACATTGCTATTTTTGTAGTCGGTTCTTGTTTTTGACTTTGTTTTAATATCTCATTCTGGTTGAACTTTTTGTAAACCGGTTTCCATCGTTCTACCAGACACGATGCGTCTAGTTGTAAAATCGTTTCTTCTTCTATACCTATTACTTCAGATCGACTATGTATTTCATTGATTAATTCATCAATAAGAATAGATGATCTAGACATAAGATCGATTAGTTTGCATCGATAATTTGTGTATTCTCTTCGCGCTGTACGTGTGAAGCCAATTACAGAACACTGAATTGGATTGACATCGGTGTTCTGCTGACCAATTTGTCCATTTTGAGTTAGAACAAATATACGTGATCTCTTGGAAAATACAGCCATAGTTTGGAATATTGAAGATAGCGCACCACAAACAATCTCTACTTTATCATGCACTATATGCTCATTTATATCTTCAAAACCGAAATTTAAAGGCCAACAGTACACTATGTCGACTGTTGGGAAGGATGATGCCGTATCCTCGAGAAACCGCCGAATATCAATTACAATGTCTTTTATTACTATGGTATGAAAATATGAAGCACACATGAGCTCTTTTTGATAGCTCAGTAACTCTATATTTTGAACTCCATAGCATTGCTGAAGTTTTATTGCGATTTCACATCCTACTGATTGTTGATTAGCATCACAAAATATAATCCAAAGCTTTTCTTGTGTTACATCAACCAATTTTTGTGCAATTATTGTTGTTACGCCTGTTTCCGAACACACATAATCAATTTCTCGATATCCACTAGCCAACTTAAAAGCAGATTGCCATTCTTCTATCTTTAACATCGAAGGTGACGAGTTTAATCTACTCTTTTTATCCAAAGAGGTATTCCATGATTGTGATAGTAGACCGTAGATCATATTAAGATACAATATTGAATGTGTGCTTTCGAGTACAATCATAAGACCATTAGAAGTGAGCAGTTGCCGTAGATTTGAAAGTGTTTGAGCTATATTTTCTGCAATGTGTATTACATGTGAAGCAAATATAATATTGAATGATTCAAATTGATAATGTTCAGGACTTTTATTGATATCATATACTTCATATGTGAGACGTAAAAGATCTTTCGTATTACGTTGTGTTATGTATGAAGTAAGAATTTTTCGTGCATCATTCAGCACCTCAGCAGATATGTCAGTAAGAGTATATTCAATTATAGTTCCTGTCGAGTTAGTAAATTCGAGTAAAACATCTAATGCAATCAGAGTTGCTGCTCCGTTCCCTGCTCCAATCTCTAAGACTGTTAAAACATTTTGTACATTATTGTTCATGGCTAACTTCTTTTGTATTTGCTTGACGAGCGCCGTGAAAACTTGTTTAGTATATGATTCCGACATAAATGAACAAAACTGTTCGAATTTTGATCTATGTGCTTCATTAAATATTACATCTGCTGCCTCCAAGCGACCAGTTACTATGTTTGCTAAATTAGTACCGCATGAGAAAATGAGTGAAATCAACGGTTTTATCAAAGGAAACTGTTTGATAATATTTAAATAATATAGACTAGTCGAGTGTGAAATGAATTCGTTAATAGAGTTACGGCATTGGAAGTCATTAATTAATAACTCAATTAATAGATGGTAGTTTTTGAGAGATACTTTCTTCAAATTTTCCGGTTTGATTTCATCAAGTTTATTACTGTTGGTCAGTTGTTGAAATAAATTCATTGCATGTAATGATACAAATTCATTTAGATATTTCTTTGCTTGTATCAGTTGTTTATCTATTTCTGTTACACCCGACTGAAGAAAACAACGGACGCTTAGTACCATATTTTCGAAGTTCCCTTGTGTGTAAAGTAATTCTGAACATTCTGGAATAAGTTTGTCGATATTTCGCACTACTGGTATTTGTTTCCAATGCATCTCAAAACAATAGTTCTTGATAAGTTTATGAGTAAGTATGTGTTTGTTCGTCGATACGGTTTTTGGCAAAATTGAAGTTTCACGAACTTTATCAAATAAATAGAAGTCTATATCTATGTTATCACTCCTTTCGAATAATTGTTTCACTTGTAGACCTTCCCAAATGGCCACCATCCGATTATTTTCTGCATCCAGAACCATGAGATCATAAGATAGTTCATTTCGCATATGCCGAGCGTTTTTTCTTATTGAAGCATGAACAATGGTTTGTTTATTTAAAAGCATTTTATTATTGCGTATAATAAGTCTTTTAACTCTGACAGGGACATATGTATCATAGCCGGGAATACAACCAATAGTAGAATGAAAACATGCGTCACCAAGTGCTGGATGTAAATAGTAATCTTTTAAATGTTCATGTGATAAACGATCAGATATATTCAGTCTACTATACGATTCATTTTCGCATATATGAAATGCGCCAACGCATTGGAAGACTGGTCCATATAAATAACCACGATTGGCAAGATATTGATATAAAAGATTTATCTTATTAATATTTTTGAACGATGAATATAGCAAGTTAGGAAATGTCTTTTGAAGCATTTGAACATTGCATAACGTATCCAGCATAGTAGAACAGCCGATACTTTTAGTATTGATAAAACCTTCTGCATGCAAAATCCATCCATGTGATGAATAATCATTCAGTAGTTGCTCCTTAGAAAAATCTTCTACAAGATCGTATGACGCAATACCTCCAAGACGTGTAACATTTAATACAGGATTGCGACGGCTGTAGATAAAGAATTGTTGACATTGAATGATAACTGTGTGAATTTCTGTGTATTGATCTGGATCTTTATTTAAACTTAAACTTGACAACAACTGAATGTTCTCCAGTACAATTTCGTTAATAGGTGTTAAGGAAGGTTGAACAAATTCCTGAAGTTCATTCATAGCTGCAAGAATCAATTCTATAAAACCAGTCAGAGGAAATAATGGTTGGCCTTGAATAATATGATCAGTTAAATACGCATGTTCAAGTACATTTAAGTTTATATAGTTTTTCCATACAGCAAACTTCTCATCCGGCCACATACGCAGACCCAAAAGAGGATGATGTTTTTGTTGTTTTGCTCGTCGGCGTACTACTGAATCTCTGGTTTCTAGCCAGCACGTTTGTTTCTCAAAAGCATAAAAAGGTAAATCATCAATACCTTCGTCACTGGCAGCTGCAGACCAAGTTCGAGTACTACAGAACACTTTCCAATCAACGCTTTGCAATTGACTTAAAGACGATAACATTGTTTGTTGCTCATTTTCTTTACGCTTAAGCGAATATAAAGTAAGTGGAAATGTATTTAGATTTAACAGAGTGAAACATTCTTGAATCGAAGTAACTAAAACGGGATGTGGAGATATTTCCAAAAACACATCCATCATTATACTATGATCGTTAAGAATCGCTAGTATAGCTTCTTTGAAACGAACGGTATCACGTAAATTTTTCCACCAGTATTGATTAGTGAAATGTAAATTATCAGCACATTTGCCCGTCACGGTTGAGAATAGATGTGCTTTTGAACATGTTTCATTAAATAAATCTTCTTTTTTAGATAAAGATTTACCTCCAATATTAGCAAGAGATGATAATAAATCTTCAGAGATATTAAACTTTTCCATTTGCTGACTATGATATGCATTTTCAACATTCAGCCATTTTTTGAAAGTATTTGGTTTCAATTCTGTTAAAATTTCATACAGATTTTCGAGTTGAGTTCCATCGCCACTAAACGTTAATGAATTCGGACCATTAATGGCAGCAAGTGAAATGCAATTTTTAAATCCTTGCAAAAGCATATTTGCCTCTACTTCATTTAAACCGGTTACAGCTAACATACGTCCATTTTGCCGACTAGTACGATGTTGTAAATCAGAACGATAATATATAGTTTGAACAGCTTCTTGTAGTGTCAGACGTCCGCTGATATAAACTGCAGCTACTTCACCGCCAGAATGACCGACAATCGTTTTCGGTTCTATACCCCACGAAAGCCAAAGGGCAGTTAGTGCTACTTGTATAGCAAATAGCGCTGGTTGAGCTATATTGGTTTCATTAATACGAGAGAATTTTTCCTCTGGTACATAAATAAGCTCTTGCAATAATGACCATTCACTTGTTAATTCTAAAAGTTCTGAATTAATTTTATCAATCCAGTGTTTAAATATTGCTTCGCTAAAATATAGCTGACGTCCCATTTTCCACCATTGTGTTCCTTGTCCAGGATATACAAAACATATGTTTTGGCGCAAATGTGACCTAGATTCGTCAAATTGAGAGATAGTTACACCGCTGATACTATTATTTTCAGTCGTATTATTAACTTTGTATGCCAATAAAAGTGAGTTCAGTTGACTTTTTAACTCATTCTCATCCGCAAAATTAAAAGATACTCGATGAGCATATTTGTTGTCTCGTTTGGCGAGGAGCTTATAACATATATTTGTCAACAGTAATTCACTCATATTAAGTGCCGTGTACCATTTGAAAAAATTATCCACTTGATTTCTTATTGATTCTGAGGACTTCGCTAAATTATAAAAAAAGCAAGGCACATATTTAGAATTCTATACAAAGCAAAAATAAACATAGCTATTTATATACTTACCAGACAATACTGCAGTAAAATATTGTTGACTAGCAGCATCTATTTTGTTGAAATTTTCTTTGAATGGAACTGTCGGTTTTTTATTTATTAATGGCTTCGAATATTCTTCTATAATTGCATGACAATTGTTTCCACCTAAACCAAATGAATTAATACCAATTGTTATTATATAATTTGTTGGAATTCTAGTCAGATGTTGAACAATATGTAAATTGTATTCCTGTGCTTTGATTTTTGGATTAATCTTTTTAAAATTCATTTGTGGCGGAATCACTCGATGTTTTATCGATAGAGCCACTTTGATGAGTCCAGCAATACCTGATGTACCTTCAGTATGTCCAATATTCGACTTAACGGAACCCAAAAGTAGCGGCATATCAGCTTTACTACGATTAAAAAATTTACCCAATGTATTTGCTTCTATTGGATCACCAACTTGTGTACCAGTGCCATGTCCTTCAATATATAGAACTTTGCTTAGGTCTATTTGTTGTCGCGTATAGATTTCCTTTAGTAATTGATATTGACCGTCTGATGATGGAGTACTGTAACTGATCTTATTATAATGTCCATCATGATTGGATAAAACATCACGGATAACGCAGTATATGCTGTCATTATCACGGATAGCATCAGACAATCTTTTCAATAATACCAATCCTAAGCCTTCGCCTATAAAGAAACAATACGTAGTGGTAAAGAACGAAGAAAATGCTTATCGATATAGTAAAGTATGGTCGTCGGTCTATTTCTTATATCAATAATCCAATGAATCAAAGCGAGATTTAGAAGTATTAGTAAACTCTCTTTAAGTATTCTGAAATATTTCGAAGCGTCATGTAACTATTGTATAACGTTTGTAGTCTTCTGAGGTATGTCGTAATTTTTTGGAATGCTGTGTAGTTGTTCTGAAATTTTTAGAATCTTCTTTAACACTGTGAAACATTTGTTAAATATAGTTCTCTCGACTGAAAAGACGGTCATATGAAAATCAATAGTTTCTACATTTATGGCTGGCACGACCAAAAAGTTAAAAAAAACTCTTTTTTTAGTAATGTTCAAAACTTGTTAAAACATGGTTTGGGAAGGGGTGAGGCCAAAAGAGCATTGTCTCTCGAAATGTTTTAAATTTAAAGAAAAGTAGTTGAGAATAGGTTAAACCGTCAACCGAACAACGTTTTCATATCATAGAGATATGCCATTAGGCCTTACTCGTTAGCTCGAATACTAAATCAATAATTTGGCTAACCCGATATAGCACTCAGGACATGTACAAGGGCTCGTTAGATGTTCTCTCGTCCGAAGGGAGAATCGTATGAGAAAAAATAGTTTGAATTGTGTGTGTTTGTATCATGATTCAAGGTCAATATTGATAGAAACTTCACGATGAACGAGCGGAGATAGCTAAGACTGATCGATAATTATCGTGGATTATAAAACTGACTAATCAGGTATCGCGCGATGTAATGCCGAGAAATTAGGTGTCTAGGATACATGAATCAGGCATTGAATATCTCATATGCTTTTGTTCAGGTAGTTAAATTATTTGTGAAGTGCCGGAGTGGAAGGCGAGTGGCATTTGAGGAAGTATATATGCTATGAACAATATCGAGCAGTCGGGAGCGGCGGACTGAAGGGACGCCGACGACCGACTGCGAGATGAGTGGATTGATACATCTTTTGAAAAGTTCTTATGACAACTGTAAAATGAAAAGAAAGTCAGCCGAGAGTTAAGCGAGTCTGCCTCAACGAGCGTTACTTGTAAACCTTCCAGAACTGTTTAAAGCATTACAGAGTTTCCCTGGACTATTATAAAGACTGATAGTCTCCAAGAATATTCCTTGCAATTTTCTAAATTTCTTAATTTTCTGAAATCTTAGTGAGACTTTTACAATCTACTGACCTTCATGGTATTCGGAAATTAATAGGAATCTACTGGAGTTCCAAAGAAGCGTATGCTTTTACTTGTAGCGCTGTTATTCTTACTGTTTTGGAGATATTGTAGAAATATTTTAGTTTTAGAATAGCTAGAGAACGATGGATTAACGAAGATGTAACTATTCATAAGAAAATCAAGTAATAAATGTAACGAGAAACATTATGTCATACAAATAACTCAAATACTATTCCGTGAAATCAGTCAATAGTTGAATGAGATAAAGCATATCGTTATGACTCCTCATCACCGAAATCCGGTCCGCTAAAAATCGGGCATATGCATTTTGATCATATGTTCTATCGACCAAACCACTTTCGAGGATACAACCTCCGACCGACTGCTAAGCGACGGAATGTTTTTCACTGATCTGCTTTTAAACATAACAAACTCTCAAGATATGTCCTCTATAACTCACTCACTTTTTTATGTTTATAAATTCATAGCTGGTATATATAAAACAGTGATGGGATCGGTTCGTGTTTTTGCAAAATCGAACCGAATCGAACCGGACCGAATACTTTTTTTTGAATAATCGAATCGAACCGAGAGGATTTTCATTAAAACCGATCGAACCGAAATATATTATTCTCACCCGAAATACTAGAGATTTTCTTCAAAACCTTCGATTAGAAGAGCCTTGTCAACAGTAGTCATACTTTAAAAGCTATTTAAACGTTTCTTTATGAATTAGTTGCATCTTTTTCATAGCCAAGTTTAAAAATAATTAAGCTGAGGGGTTAAAAGGTGTTAAAAGCTCCAAATAGGGATGCACAAGTTCAAGTTCAAGTTCGAGAGCCGACTCAAATGAACTTTAGAACTGCAAAATTGTTGATTGTGGACGGACTGAACTGTTGAAACAGTTCTGTTTAATGAGCTGAACTTTGTCGATCCCTAGTTCCAAACTAGGTTTATAATCACCTGGAAAAAGCTTGAACGGAACACAAAATTTAGACATTGAAATTATATAAACTCATCGGACACACTAGCAGTTCCTTATAAAATTTTGCAACGTCGACAACGTTAGAAGTTTTCGCGAACTTCCTATATGGAAGGAGATCATAAAATTTTATGCGATAAGGAATGCTAACTAATCCATTGAAAAATAATTCTTTTTTTATTTTCTTTACCGATTGTGATAAATATAGCTTACTTGATCTAAGTAACTAATTCGACATCTAGCCAATTTGAATTTTTCAGAATTTTACACTAAGGGAAATCTTTACAAAGGAGTAGATAGAAAATAATAACAATCACGTATCTCAACTGTTAAAGATGTGTAAACAAAACACAAGACAATATTGTTAGTTTTCCACTTTCATATTGTGTGTAATTTAATTACGAGACATTCCAATTAGATGAATCTCACTNTACGAGACATTCCAATTAGATGAATCTCACTGTTTCTACTTTGGATGACATCTTTTTATTCTGACTATATATTTCTGTGCGGCTCTTATTAATTAACGCTAAGAAAAATTGTGTTCGGTTCACTAGGAATAATTCAAATTCAAACCGAACCGAATCGAATCGACTCGGCTCGGTTTGAAATCGAACCGATCCCATCACTGATATAAAAGCTGCTACAGTGATAGCTGAAAGGATTAGTTGTAAAACCGGACATGTGGTATTTTCGTAGTTAAAACAAGTTTGGTGATCCATATTTCGGTGGCATATCCGTTGAGCATTTCTTTCTCGGCGATGAGGGTTACACAACCATTGTTCCCGAGTTATGACCGTTTCACTCGATTTTTGGCTTATTGGAACGCATTTCAATGAAATCCTAGGGACGCATTTTCTACCTGAAATTTTGCTCATAGGATAAGCGTCATCGGCATTAGATTTTTCTAAAAATACCAGCCCCGAAGTGTCCCTTCCGTGAGATAATGAATTTCCAACATAGGTCAGTTATTTTCCAGTGATCGATAAAGTACAGGATTTTTGAAAGTTTTTTTTTTTAATCTGGAGAAGGAGATATTCGTCCGAGCTGAAGTCTTTGGGAAAATCTAGTGCCGATGAGACCTATCTATGGGCAAAATTTTGGGCCGAAAATGCGTTCCTGGAATTTGATTGAAGTGTTTTGCAATAAGTCAAAAATCGAGTAAAACGATCATAGCTCCGGAACAAAGCTATGAAAACTCAAGTCCTTTAATGGTTTTTGATATATCATCGAGGTCTAATTATGGCCAAAAAATAAGCTTTAAACTCGTCAATCATTTATCGGTGTGAAGCTAGCACTATTTAGCTAGCACCAGATAACGAAAAGTCATAAAAATCTTATGTTCAAATGAATTCCCATCCGTAGAAGTAGGCTCATTCGACGCAGAATTTAATTCTACATCGAATGGTGTCGTTTTTATCGACGGGAAAACGATTGCGATGATTCTATTTAGATTTTTTCCTTCCAGACACAAACGTGTAGAAAAATCTGTATAAAATTTTCTCAATTGTTTTCCCGTCGATAAGAATGACACCATTCGATGTAGAATTAAATTCTGCGTCGAATGAGCCTACTTCTACGGATGGGAATTCATTTGAACATAAGATTTTTATGATTTTTCGTTATCTGGTGCTAGCTGAATGGTGCTAGCTTCACACCGATCAATCATTTCGAGAGGTTCCCTCGTAAGACCTATTAACATACTGTTTATAATGTACACGAGCATGAATTCGAAATGATCTCTTTTTGCTCTAGTGTTCTCTTTTAGATTGTGTTCACCAAAGGAAGATTTGCATTTATGACGGCAGAAAAATTTTTATTATTCTGCATAAGTTATCTTCTGAAAATTATCATGCTTATAACAATGCGCTAAAAAATAATCTACATGCTTAGATCAGTCGTTTTCTTAAGACATATGGCTATCATCCATCGTGAATAGCCTTTTTTCATCAACAACATAATTCGTGTTTTTGATATCTGAATAATTGTGCTTCTCTCAAAAACTATATATTCGTACCTTTAGCATATCCATTGGCTTCAATACAGTAAGCACGACTTCGCCCATCTGGCGATACAGCCTGGATAAGTGAGTTATTCCAAAGTCCCTCAGGTGTATAGATTGTGTTCGTTCCACCAGCTACTGCATACTGAGCTTCACCATTTCTTAAAGACTGAACAGCTAGATGAACCGCTTGTAAAGATGATGAACACGCTGTGTCTATTGTAAAATTTGGTCCGCGTAAATTAAAATGATAGGCTAACCTGGCCGAAGCGTTATATTTATTTACATTTTGTGCTAATGATGCTGAATTAGTTTCAGCTGGACTTTGAAACATTATTCGTTGATGTTCACTTGAAAGTTGTCCTATAAATACAGACGTTTTTGTCCCACTGATTTCGTCGACTGTGTAATTTGCATCTTCCAGCAAATGAACAAACTTTTCAAGCAAAAGACGGTGTGCCGGATCAATTGTTCGGGCCTCCCCTTCACTAAGACCAAAGTAAACATGATCAAACTGATCCAATATTTCATTTTTCAAAAAGTAGCCACGTCGTGTTAAATATTGATCCAAATTTGGGTATATATTTGAGAATACTTTTGTAAAAGATTCTAAGTCCATTCGTTCTATTGGTATTTCACTGTTAAGATCGATGCTATCCTTTAGAGCAGTCCAGTATGAATGTGGTGAATCAATACCACCTGCAAATGCACATGATATGCCGATTATTGCAATAGGTGCCAGACAGATAGATTCTAATAAAGAAAGAAATAAAATAAAAGCAATACTTCAGTTTATTGGCATTGTCTCAGAGGAATTTGATTTAAAATAAAAGTTTTAGTTGATCAAAAATAGCTATTCAACAAATGAACAGAACAGGTGGACTTTAAATTTAGAATTGAATCAGAATATGGGATTTTGACCTCTAACAATCCTTATAAAACATATATCTTCGTTAAGGGTGACGGCGTATAAGATGCTATTCCCGCCCCTGGTGAATCTTCAGTCTAACCCAGTTTCAATACTTATTGGGATGAAAGATTAAAAGTCTGTGACGATTTCTGATAGAACAGATGTGTATCCTGATGGAATCATGTCTTTCTTTATTTCTTCCTATCATCAATCGTGCCTTTTACATACAAAAACACGCACTTATAAATGTGCAGCCCAGCAAAAGAGAATAGATATGGTAAAATGTATGAGAGAAAGATATAGATGACAGAAAGAGAAGAATTAAGAGAAATGGATAGAACGATATCGTCGCAGATATCGTTACAAAGTCCTCATAATTTCGATGCTGATTTTGAGGTATTTTCAATGAGTTTGGAGTATCCGCGGTGTTCATCCTTATTATACGTGAAACGACTAGAATCAGCACTTCAACATTGCATGTTGTCAACACTATTTCCTAAGAGAAATGTTAGAGAAATATAGTCAATTATGACCGTACTGCTAGTCCTTTCTTTAAGCTACATTTTGATAGTAGACAAAGGTACTTCAAATAGTACACTACATTTTCCATTAGCGCTATAATTACTTTCTTTGTGTGCAGTTTGCATTAATATTCATCATTGTCACCCAAAGAGTGAATTATTGGTACTAACACACACGTTCTTTCATTTTGTAGCTGGCGGAGCTGCAAAAGCTCTGCAAAATCAGCTGTCTTTCAGATTTAAAAAAAGTGGGCCACTATGTCAAATTCTTGTCATACTTTATTTCAGAGTCATTGTCTGTCGTCTTTCGCTAGTTTTTTTTCTGAATTTAGTCAATAAATGTCCTCGGTTTGTTTTCTGGAAATGTTATATTTGAAATCAGCGCAAAAAACCGACTCGATCTACATATACAGCTGTACTCAAAAACAGTTGCACATCTTGTTGCGTAAATATATTTTTTTAAAGATGCTACTTTAAAGACGTCTCACATACTGGCTGATAGTCCACGCTGAGTAGTGTCGTAACGGGTGTCATAAAATGAATGACCCTCTCAGTATTTTGCAAGTATCTCTCTCAAATCGTGACGTATATACTTTAGTTTTTTTTTCAAAAGATAGCCCATGAAATTCTCTACAAAATCCTTATGAAGAGAAGTCTTCGAACGAATAGCTATAGGGTTATATCCGTCAACACTACAATGTCATAAAAAGGATCACTTTCAAATCCACATTTTTATCAAATTAATGACGTCGTTTCTTCTAGCGAAACAGATACGAGACCCAATTCTAATGCAAGCTTCCTATTTTTTTAAGCGTACTCTTTTTACCAAAGCTTAAAAAATGACATTCAGAAACGATTGCAAGCTTCCAGAGACCAACCTTAAACAATAAACGAGTCGAAACCACTGATCGTTCCTCACATACACCTCAAGCGTTGCAGAAAAACACTATAGCATTCTGTGCGCATCGAAATGATAGAAAAAGCATTTTCTCCAATTTTGTAATAAATCTGAATGCATAATAGTTTTCTATTTCACAGAACAAAATTAAAAAGTAATTAACCTTAATGGTAGGTTCAGATGACTTGGACAGAAGAGAACAAGGAAAAGGTTTTCTCGAAGTAAATTCATCGTATGTGACGAAAATTTATTCGCTAAACTGATAGAGCTTTTCGAGGGCTACAAAATAGCCTATTTATTCTGTTTGGGTCGGGTCGACAAACTGACGCAAAATCGTTAATATGAAAATGAATGGATTGAAAGTTGGCTCCTTTGGACTCCTAAAATGTTGACCCGACATAGCCCCATAGCTATTCGTTGGAAGAATTCTCTTCATAAGGATTTTGTAGAGAATTTCATGGGCTATCTTTTGAAAAAAGAACTAAAGTATATACGTCACGATTTGAGAGAGATACTTGCAAAATACTGAGAGGGCCATTCATTTTGTGACACCCGTTAGAACATATTGCGATAAGTTACTCAGATTTCTCGACAAAAAAATGAATGGTAAAAGCTATTTTACCGACTGTCGTAAAATTGTTTATCAGATTAATTCAAGTGTTTTGCGAATTTTTAGTAGCAAAAAGCGCGAATGCGTCACAATTTTTCTAAATTTCTAAATCACGCGTCCTGCAAAACGAGTGAACATTTTTCACTAGAAATTCACCTCAACACTAAGTATAGATCAGCGGTAGTGGAATGTATATCAATAGGAATCATGTGTATAAAATTCAACTTCTTTTTCCTGTCATAACACACCACAGACGCACACCACTACTAATTATACACAAACCATATTTTCTTGGTGTTTATTTTCTCATCCTTTTTTTCTAGGACAAAAGACATACGTCGTGGGTCCTTTCTTCTTTCATTTCTTGTGCCCAGCTTTCGTATATGTGTATAAGAACATTGCGGTATTGTACACATAAATTTTGACAGAAGTACTTATTTTCATGTTGATAATAATTTGTAATACATTCTAAAAATTTTTAAACAGATTTCGTTAAAAAAATTGTCGATTATTCTTTCGAATATATTAATCAATGCTTTTTTGAACTGCCCCTTAGAACTGCATCGAGTTGACTATTTTCGCCTCGATAGTTAACCGAACTTGTCGATTCTATTTAATTACTGTGACGATCTTTTTCGCATGCTATTTGTCCTTACTTCGGTGCATTTTTATGTACTTTGGCATTATCTTTCCTTCCTTTCTATCGAGAGAAGGGTATATAAACGCGTGTTCTGTATTAGAACGATGCGATTCATAATAGGACGAAATAAAGAAAGACATGATTCCATCGGAATACACATCTCTTCCATCAGAAATCGTCACAATTACTATCATAATATATAACCCTTAGTATATTATATTTATTAATACTAACAACGAATATCTATCCTATATCTCTGTTTATATAGTATAATATTAAGATTTGACAGATTATTAGATGACTAACCGACATCATAGTTGACTATTTATTAGAGAGAAAAGAGTAAAAACATACTTTTATACCACGAATGGATAGCATGAGTGACGAATATATAATTCTAAAAAGATTGACTTTTCAATCGTCTCTCGTTGACAAGAGAATGATTATACAAAAAAAAATTTTGTGTAACTTTTTTTACTACAGCTGTAATTCAAATTGCTTCTTCGACTTTCATGTTCGGTCAATACTTAGCTCCTGGCGCACTCCTCGGGGGATACGTGAAACAACGATCATCGTTAGAATCCGATAGATACTACATAAAACACATCCTACAGCCATCAGACAAAGTTATGGCAGAAAAAGTTTAAACTAGCATAATGAAATAGTAACTTTGCTGAGCTTCACTATTTCGCATATCCCTGAGGGGTGCCCCAGAATCTAAGTATTGACCGAACATGAAAGTCAAAGAAGCAATTTGAATTATACGTAGATCGAGTCAGTTTTTTGCGCTGATTTCAAATATAACATTTCCAGAAAATAAACCGAGGACATTTATTGACTAAATTCAGCAAAAACTAGCGAAAGACGACAGACAATGACTCTGCAATAAAGTATGACAAGAATTTGACATAGTGGCTCACTTTTTTTAAACCTGAAAGACAGATGATTTTGCAGAGCTTGTGCAGCTGTACCAGCTACAAAATGAAAGAATGTGAATTTTTATTCTATTGAATCAGTATTCGAGCCGCAAACACGGTGTTTCACTCAATTATTAATTAGAATATAGCCTTTACAATGTAAAGTCTTTACATTGCGTGTGATCAAAACAAACATTATTTTACCTAACTGTTTTATTATGAAAATGAAGCTTGAACAAAGGCTCATCCGTAGAGTTATAAACAAGTACATATTTCGTTGATTTTTCTTATTCAATGGTGCTAAAAATGTTCATGCGTGCATGGCTTCTCTACGTACGCAGTATATAACGAAGATCGGTGTCATGTACACCTATAATTCGCTCAAAAATTCTTTATATTCCATACTGAAATGATCAAAAGCCCCTAATTTTTCAATCCGTAAAGTATAGAATCGAGTTTAATGTAGAAAATAATAGGGGAAAAATAAATCCTTATAGGCTTCTGTCCTTTTTTAAAATTCTTTACCTGCCACGTTAAGTCAGACTAGAAACTGACCCGACTTTTCCCAAGACGGCAGAGCGACTGGTAAAGAGGCTATTTAATTATAAATGCTATTTAACAAAAACTACGAACTGGAAAATCAGCGAAGCACATCGTTTCTTATGATATAGGCCATATTCTAGTAGCTTTATTATCTATTCTTGCAGCTTCATACGGTTGCAAGAGAGTAGCAGTTCATAGCAAACTTGCAAGAAGAAATATTCTAGTTGGATAGTTGTAGCGTGAGGAAAACTGATAAAAATGAGCAAATATATTATTTTATAATTCGTTATTAAAATGTTGCGAAAATATCGATTAACTCTATCTACATCGGCCTGTACCAGTTCGATTTCAAATTCGCGCTATGCCAGCTAGGACGACATCGGTTCTGTCATATAAATAGCTCCTACAAATACTAAACACGACACGAAACGTGGTCAGACTTGAAATGCTTGAGCGGGTGATGTTTTGTTTAATTGCACACATCCCTTCTATCATATCAAATATTGAATTACTATTCGAACATGCATTTTGTAAACGCACGTTTCGTTTTTCAATCTATAAAATCAAAAGTACACAATAATCTTCTATAGGGAAGACCTTTTTGACTAATAGTTTCGGATCGTCGCCGACTCTGTATCTTGATCGAGTTCGGATCTGAGCTCGTTAACTTAAAAATACGGACTTTGAAGCATGTTTGTATACCATGGATTTTGTGGACTGAAAAAATAGAGGTGCATCTACAAAATATACGTTGAGAATATGATTTTTATACATGATATGATAGAATAGGTCATGGTACAACTAGATCAAAGAGTCCTGTCCATCTCTCTATTTGACTAGACTTTTATCTATGAATACTCACGAGATAAATGATCTGACTCCATTCATCTTGAAAAAATTGACATAAACTTGGTGTGACCTATAACTTGGAAGAATCATACATTACTCATCTCTGAGCTGAATATGCTCCGTCATTTTATAATATGCTTGTTCACATGATCAGCTCTTATAGTGTGTGATCCAGTCAACGTTTTCCATAATTTTGGAAATACTATTTAAATATTGCTTAGTTCTTCGCTTAACCGAATAGACTAATAGGAAATGAACGGCGATTCATTAGCAGGTGTTGTGAAATAAAGAATGATAAAGAACTGGTGAAATATGATAAAAGAAATAGAAATGTATTTTTAGGCGTTCACTGAAATTCACAAAGAATGGGAGCTCAATTTTTTTTATTATATCGTCTCGAATAATACAATGTACATATAATATTTTAGCGCGATGCAGTTTGTGGATCATCGAAAGCATAAGAAACTGTTACTCTATAGGTGCTGATTAGATTAATTTACTTTCAAGGAGTTTCAGTCACTAGGAGTGGGTAGATCAGTTGAACAATTGATCATATGTCAATGACAATGCTTATACTTTCACTTGTAAATTTCCAAAACTATTTTACTAATCTTTATGAAAGTTTAAATCTACACATGAATCGAGATATTTGTTAAGTTAGAGACAGTGAATTTTTCACACTTTTGTTGATGTGATTTCTATTTACACCACTCGGTTTTGGGATATTTGTTGTTATAATATATTGTATACGAGATACTAACATACCTTGAATACGGCTCGTCGATAGTGATTGTATTTCATTTTCCATTGAATGACTTTCATTGTCATGACAAAATTTGTTGTTCAAATATTTAACCTGCTCAGCAATTGTAGGATGTTCAAATAAAACACTGATATCTAATTGCATCAGTTTATTCTCTCCAAAAACTGTTTCATATTGATTATATAATTCTATTGCCAGTATTGAATTTCCACCAATATCAAAGAAGTTTTGGTTTCTTAATACCTTCGTAAAATTAAGTACTTTACACCATATTTGATGTACTTTTGTCTCCAATTCTATTTCTGACATTTCATACTGTTCAATTCTTCGCGTCGATTGCATTAACAACGGCGAAAAATTTGGCCGTGGCAAAGATTTTCGATCGACTTTTCCGCTATTAGTTACTGGTATTTTGACTAATGGAACAAACAACGTAGGTATCATATATTCAGGCAAACAGCGGCGACAATAGTTTTTTAACTTTAATTGATCAATACTGCTCCCTTTCTGTTCTATATAAGCCACTAGACATTCCTCCCCTGTATAATCGTTGACTGATTTTACAGCTACGCAATTTGTTATTTCGTTCGATAAATCTAAAATACAGCTTTCAACTTCTCCTGTTTCGATTCGTTGTCCTCGAATTTTAACTTGAAAGTCTATTCTAGTTACGTAAACAAGATTTTGAAACTTATCGTACTTAGCCATATCGCCCGTCCTATAAAGTAACTTTTCAGTATTGTTTGCAGTTGTGGAAAAATATTTGTTTGTTAATATTGGATTTCCATAGTAACCTCGAAATAAAGTCGGCCCTAAGTACATAAGTAATTCGCTTTCAGTTAATTACAGAATATTGCAATAGAACGTTGATAAATTTCTTACCGCTAAAATAAATTTCGCCAACAATGTTTGGTTCACATATTGGTAAACGATTTTCATCTAACAGATAGCATTGATCGGGACTTGGAGAAAGGCCAATAGGTACCACCACCATATTATGTAAATCATTAAAATTTATACGATAAAATGTAACTGGCCCGCATTCACTGGAACCATAACTATTATAAATCTTGACATTGGATGATAAATGCAAGAGTAACTGTGATACTACTATTGGTTTCAATAAGTCTCCTAAAAGATACAGTGCAAAAAATTCAAATCTTACGTAGAAAAGATATTTTGACTTTTTTACATCATTCGATAAAGCGACAGGTACTGATCATGATTATAGCGGATTACCGAAGTTTTCAGACAAAATATTTGTTCATTTTTTATCCATATAAGTTGTTCGTGATCAGTTGAATTCTATCATTTCGAGTTAGGATCTTTGCTTTTTGAATGTTATCACATAGCTAGTAGGTTGGAGATGCTTTTAGAGATGTGAGATATGCATCTCGTGGAAGATGGCATATCCCTACGTTCAACTTCCGCTCTAAAGTCTGTATCCTTATTCTCACCTTTATTAAAAGAAAATTCGGTCGAGATCATGTCTAGGAGTAGTATTACAGACAAGTTAACAAATACGAGATGATGCGTTATAAATTATTCATACAGCACATCAGAGTTTGATACTATCGTCACGTCTTGAGTTAAGTGAATTTATGTACTTAACTCGCCCGTCTCACTTACACATTCTTCGCATTAATAGCTGATTTTCCAAATGCACTGTGAAAGTCTATATTTTTCTGATATTCACTAACTGAAATATCTTCACGAACACTTCCATGCGTAAATTCTATGCTATCAAAAACGCTGAAGAACATCACTGTTTCTCACGCTTAATAGTTCTATCAAATTGATAAAATTTTCGCAATTTATCGGCCTACTAGTTCTGTTTGTCTGCTAATTATTGAAAGCTTATTACGCAAGCTGAACACGAATAAGCATGATGCATAACTCGATGTGTAACCGTCACAGTTACATCAACGATTTATTTCGAAGAAAACAATTTCAGAGGTTTCTCGACAGTGTTACCTGGATGTAAGGACTTCTATGTGTGTTAAATTGTGCCTCTGCTTCACCTACGGTTTCTAATCGAAATTAAATTCCCTCACCATCCAGGCCTTGAATCCTATTCAATACTGCATTCACAATTACTCTAATTCACTTAAACCACGTATACATTGTGGAACTGATTCATTACTGGATTTTGTGACCGTAAAATCTAATTAACCCAAAAAAGCGGCGAATCCAGCACCGAGTACACAATCGAGTTTTCCTGTTGTTAACTCATTCTTATGAATCATTAGTGTCAAGAAAACCGAAGAATTTTCGATTTATAATATTACTTTTAAGAAAGGTTCAGTCATTCATGGAACCAATAGTTTTTTCCCTATTTTTATAATTTTAAAATATCAACATTAGTTCGAACGAAATATACCGAATGGCCTAAAAGTTTTGCGACATATTTTGTTTTCCATTTATCTCTGTTTAGATACATGATGGAACGTTGATCTTTTTCAAAAAGATGCGCCATCAAATGTTCTACAAATTTCTATTTACCTTAATTTGTAACACTAGAATACAAGGTTTTATAAATGGGATGATGTGATTGTGTAAAGTGCGTCTACTTCCCATTTTTTTTTATACTTTATTATTTTTGTACAAAAATATTTTGTTATTGAAACGTTGTTAATTATTAAACAGTGCTTGAAATCCTCTATCGATTGTATACAACTCCGAAGTTATGGATTACACTGAAAAAAAAAGGTATTCTATCAAACCCATAAAAAAGTTTTGTAGATGCTCAAAGGCTCCGTGATGAGGGTTCGGAGCGTGTGTCCGTCAATCGATCCTTTTTTGGTTTCGCAGATTTTTGAGAATCATTTTTTCCAACATGTCAGCACACTTCGGAGCTTTGGACACCTACGAAACCTTTTTTGATGGGTTTGGTAGAATACCTTATTTTTTCAGTGTACTAATTCTTTCGGTTAGATCCATTGCAGTATTTTGAGAGGTGTCCAATACTTACCATCGAATACCTGTTTTCAAAGGAAGCGTTGTAGACATGTAATCTATGACCAAGTCACGTTTCTTTTTGGGAGTCTAGAGTAGAAAATTGAATTCTCCTGCTACTTAAAGTGCAAACAACGCACGAACACATGATTTGGTTTCAAGAAGAATACGAATAGAGCCAAGAAACTCATTCTTATTGCAGTAACTCAGAGGAAGCATAGCTTGAAATAATACGAATTATAGTTATATATTTACAAATAAATCTCAAAGAGTGCTCGATATATACTCAAGCTGCAAGTAGAAAATTTCTCAAGCTCCTACATATAGCTTGGCGGGGAGGGGGAGGACTGTTAGAAAGATTTTAAGAAATGTGTAGGAAGTAGACTAGCTTTACACACTCATATCATCCTATTTATAAAAACCTTGTATTCTAGTGTTACAAATTAAGGTAAATAGAAATCTGTACGACATTTGATGGCGCATCTTTTTAAAAAAGATCAACGTTCCATTGTGTGCCTAAACAGAGATAAATGGAAAACAAAAAAATGCCGCCAAGCTTTTGTATTGAAAGGGTATCTTGCAATAGTTATCGCTGCACTCGATACTGTCTGATTCTAATGGGCTCAACTCACGTTCAAATACGTTTTATTGAGCTTAGCTCCAATTATATGTTCTGAAAAGAAAACGGTGTAGTTACCTCCCACAAGATACGTTTGGATTGACAACAATGAATGCTCTTGCCGTTTTTGTGGCAATGTTGAAACATACTCAGCTAGTTGTTTCATTAAAGATGGGCCTGTTGTGACTGCAGTCACTTGTTTTTCTTGTATAGTGTAAGTCAAATAACTCATATTCAAATTACCACCTGGTCGCAACATAACTAAAGTTGATCCTAATATCATGGCACTAACAAATTCAAATAGATGCCAAATCCACACACATCCCGCGATTTGAAGAATTATTTGATTTGAATTATAAATATTGACGGAGGAAAATACATCAGTAGATGCTATCATTTGACAATGACATCTTTCGACGAATTTGGGTTTGCTAGTGGAACCACTCGTGCCAATAAGAAATGCTAGACTTTCACGATTTACTTTGACGTTAGATAGTATGTTAAGCTGTTGGTTACAGATCGGGGCGTTTATTTCTTCGCTTTGTAGAATATTATCGATTTGAACTATACAATACGTTTCTTTAATCTTAACATGGAACTTCTTTGCAGTAACTGAATGCACTAAAATAAGTATATTATTATGTAATTGATTCGATTGAATTTCATCGATCAATATTTCTGTACGCTCAATTGGGTCATTTGGATTCAAACCGAGGTACGCACCGCCAATCGTTAAAGTAGTAAACATACCAATACACATTTCGATTGATTGTCGTACATATTGAAATACAATAAATTCTTCCTTCTTCTGTTGGTATTTACCAAAACCTTTCTCAATTATGTTCATAGCTAGCTTTTGTACGTAAAACATAATTTCCGCATATGTTAACGATTGTTCGTCCAATACAAGTGCTAATTTTTGACAGTTTCTTTTGTTTGATGCTTGCGCGACAAATTCTTGATGAATAACTGACGATGAAAACAATGAACGTATTTCCATAGTATGGTTATTCGTATGTTCGAAAGCCATTTCTATCAGTCCTGATATCAATATTTTCCAGTAATATGCAATTTACTTTCTAAAACACATAATTTCATTTTGGCGAATCAATAATTTTAGGAATATTTTGAACAGAGTTAGGACAAATAAAAGTATTATACTTCAACTTGACGAAGAGTATTTGGTACCTGGCATTTAAACATAAACTGGCTGTAGTTTAGCAAAAATATGCCCATTTAATCAAGTGTAGACTGTTTTGTGCTCTCCTGTAGTGGTCACCTTGAGATTTAGGTCACTTCAATGCTCGGACTATAAATTTGAGCGAGAAAAATCGGAGGATGACCTCTGCAGTATGACGATCCGATGAATTTCGGTGTATTTTGTCCTCATATTACCCTTGACGCCATTATAGTGATCCTTTTTCTTCACTTTAATTCATCTCGTCTGATCAGCGCATATAATATCTCTTCCATCCTCAACCGTGATATGCAAGAGAGCACAAAATGGTCTGCACTTAACAAAATCGACGTATTTCTGCTAAACTATAACTCGTTTAGGTTTCAATACCAAGCACCAAGCATTATGCGTAAAGTACAAGTACAAATACTTGCGTCTCAGCTCTGTTTTTGAAGATCGATTCCAATATCTGTCAAAACAGTAAACGCGGAAACTCTGGATTTTATCCGGCCGTCACGTGTATTGCAAAAAGTGTATCAGATAGAATACATAACGAGACGTAGAGAAATATCAACCTTGTTTTTAATAATTGTTATGAGTCACGCATTCCATCAGTCTCATCTTCGAACTCTAGCGGGACTTTGGTGTCACAAGACATCATAAATCATTTCCATTCAATCACATGAGTCTTTCTAGAGTTATCGTATAAATGGATGGAGGACACTGACGTATTCTAGTAACGCACTCATATTTTCAGTCTGTTGTAACAAAAAGATGTTTCAAATCCGTTCTTAGTACTTCAATTATGTTTAATTAAAGCTCAGATTTAATTCAAATAGGAGCTGTTTTTTAAATGAATTTCGACACTTCACAACATTCAACACATCTAGAGTGGTCCTCTTAGCGCCAACAAATATAACGAATATTCGCGTGACTTTCATGATGGTCTATTAGTTGATACACATGTTCGCGGTCTCCCTTTGTTTTGCTTTTACACTAAATATAAGCCCATCCTGCAAAGATTGATGACAGTAGCTACAACAGAGACGTATGACCAACAGACAGATGATCTGATTGAAATACACGCATATCTCACAATGGATCCTTATCATATGCTTACTAACTACATATTGACGTTTTCCTACTCAAAGCTATCATACATGTAGTTGAATGCTTTGTGACGTACTCTATCATAAAGCCAGCGGGGAGAACTTTCGCCTGAGTCTCCATGCCTACCTCCACACTAGTCCACCAACCGGTTTTCTGAGACCTGTATAAGCTCCATGAAAATTCGCGTGCTTTCTCTATCATAGAACTATTTGAGTGAAATTTCACGCTGGCCGTACTCTGATCATCCATACCTTCCCTTGGTGGTCATCTGACTCTCTCTCGCTCTCTATTTCTCTAGGTCTAAGGAATCAACACGGAAAGTTAGGCGACCATAATGAATGTAGGAAGTAAATGCATAATGAACAAGCCCACACTGAAAAGAAAAATCAGCAGAATAATAAACCCTCAAAAAGGGTTTATAACCGAAAAAATCGATATATCAACGTGATCTACCCATTGATCAATCCTTTTTCTTGATCAATCCACGAAGGGTTTGCATTCCGTTGCAAATTGATATACCCACGTGTTGATTCTCTCTTGATAAACCCTTTTTGCGCTTATCAAATGAATGAACCCTAAAACGATGGGTTTCTTATAGATGCTGAAAAACTCCATAGTTGAGGGTTCATTCATTTGATCAGCGCAAAAAGAGTTTTATCAAGAGAGAATCAACCCGTGGGTATATTAATTTGCAACGGAATACAAACCCTTCGTGGATTGATCAAAAGAAGGATTGATCAATAGGTAGATCACGTTGATATATCGATTTTTTCGGTTATAAACCCTTTTTTGAGGGTTTATTATTCTGCTGATTTTTCTTTTCAATGTACCGGGCCAGCCTTCGAATTAAATGGTTTATATACCAGTTTGTAGCCCTTGCTTCGCTCTATCGAATGACATATAAGAGAAATCTGCTCGCGGAAGAAAAGTATCCAAATGGCTCAAAATATAAAAACGGTCATAATGTTTAATACAGGAAAACGACCATGATGGTCAAAATATCTAATAAATAATCGATAGATACTATATGAAATGATACAGAATTGAATGCCCTGTCAATTGAAGATGGATATTCTTGAATAATAAGTCAATCCGAATACCATAAACAGTAGTTATAGGTCGTAAGATCCTGTATAATGCATCGCAATTTTTTGCAAAAACTCCCTACAATATTTTTATCTAAAATATATACTCAACCTAAGCAATTCTTCTTCAATTTGCTTCTACAAAGCGTATTCCACTTCCCCAAGACGGATTATCAATGAATTTCCGACAAAATCATCGTGGCTCAATTTGCATTGCTTATTCGCTCCCGTCCTTTGTAGTACGACGTTAACTCATTCATTAGGGCAACTTGTCATCAACTTTCTGTGGAAGAAAAAATGAACTTTATAAAGGAGAAAGAAGGTGTCTTTCTCATCGAGTCTTAACACGGATATTTTTCTCGATTCTATTTTTTCAAAACAACGATCTACCTTAAAGTATTTCAGTTATGAATTTGATCTGCGTACCTAAAATTGCAAGACTCGACATTTTTCTCACATTGACTATGGAATATACAAACTTAAGGAATAAAAATATGCCAATAAGAATCAAATGATAAAAAACTATGTGGTTTCAGTGCGAAAAAGCACTTCTTTCCACAAACTCCCTCCTTACTGATCACCCCGTCATTCTGAACGATTTTGAAAAGTCCCGTTGGTGTTCGGAATAGTGAGGTTTTACTGTATTTTGAAAGGTCTGTAGGTCAGGTTCTGTATCATAGATTCTATAATCGAAGAAGATCGTGAGAACTTGCGTTGGAAACCCCATTTGTCGTAGTGTGTTAATAAAGCCACATGTCATCCTAACTATGAGTTTTGTCGGCAACAAGAAAGTTTTTGTATATTTTTTACTTAATCTATATTAAACGGATGTTTGCATCCCCGGTTCTCAGCAACGGAGAGCATAATAGAGCTATTGCTCTTCTTAACATATGAAGCTCTATTTCATTCCTTTTAGCAATGAAAAACAGTCAGAGAAAACATATTCTGTAGCATTTCCACTCTCATTCTTGAAAACGGAACGTCAAAGTGGCACCTCTACTGATTGTAAGCAGCGCTCTTTGTTTTCCTTTTGAATTGAAAGAAAACTTCTGCTAAACCCTCATGTTTCTCTTCAATATTTCTGACTTCATAGCTTGAAATCTCGAAAGCCTACACCTAACACAACCTTTTACAAGCTTCAGTACAAACCACGGATGAAATACGAGTAAGAAATCGGCTTGGCCACGTAATTATAACCATTTTTTCTGTGCGTCACGACGCCACACTGGTTTAAATTTAGCCCTACTACTCTACAGAACTTCTTCTAAGATAGTTCATGCCATTCGCTTGAAGCGATGAAACTCGTAAAGCGATTATAAGAGGTCTCGATTTGTAAAGCGCCGTGACATACGGACGCTTCTTTTGGCCAGGCCGAAATCAAGATGAGACGGTCCGAATCTTACTCTCATAAAAATGGGATTCATATCCTGAGAGAATCTTCCGACGTGGGAAGTGCTTTTGAACGTCTGGGATTTTATATAATCTCACAAGGATTCGTTGTTTTTGGACTTCAAGTTCTGATCGACTATTTTTCTGTAAGTCAGAAGAGATTCGTTCCCATATACTAAAATAAAGTGGAGTAGCTGCCTAATTCGCCTTATAATATAAGTGACCAATTCCTAGCACACTACAATCCCTATCTACAATAGAAATAGAAATAGATTTAGTTTCACTTATACATATGTATCTGTCAAACTAAATCTATTTCTATTCCTATCTACTCATTTGTTATAAGTGCGATATAGATATCTATTTATATTCGAATTGAGACTAGCCTGTCAGGGGTCGACTTATAATATAAGTCGAATTAGGCATCTCGTGGAATGTACATGGATGTTTCGCAGGGAATTACAGATGTCACAATCTAGAGCAGTAATCAGTGTTCGAAAACGGTGTGCAGCATGCTACAATGGCTCCGGTTATGTGGATTCTCTGCCAGCTATCCACTCTTTGTATTCACGCCGCATTAGTGAAAGTCACGCAAGCTGTGTATGCATTTATAAATTTATAATTTATAAAAAAACTTTTTCTTTTTCCTTGGACAAAGTTTTTATAAATTAGAAACGTATAAATAATGGAATATGAATGCGGTTTATTTTATAAGTAAAGTTTTTCATTCAACTGCGAATTTATATTATAATTATAATTAGGCATCTCATGTGTATTTATCATTTCCGCTACTAGCATAGTCAATGAAATGATTTATGCTGTATATAGCGAGTTAGTCTATCAGTTCCCCAAAGGAGATGATTCCTGTAACAGCACGTTCGTGCTTAACATCTAATGTTACAATGAAAGTAGAATGAGTTAATCGATAATGAACCGCATCGACATGGCTGTATGTAATCTAGTTTCATCCAACAATATAGAAATACATATATTGTTCATAATAGCTGTTGAGTTAATCGAAAAGTCTGTTGTTTCATTTGTTACCACTTGCATCCTAAATATATCCATGTTCACGGTTTCGGTGCCCTTTCGTCGACTTGTTTTGTAAACATTTTCCAGGAAAAAGACGAGGGAGGGAGAGAGACATGGGGAAAGAAGGACTGTTGTTTCGGTTCAGGTCGTGCTATCTCGCAGCAATACCCCAATTTCGGATTCCCGAAATTTGAATGCGAAACAACAGGGGAGGGGAGAGGGAGTCGTACAAACCTG